ACTATCGCCGCAGTTAGCATCAATATTAGATATACAGGAAGAAACGAAGAGTCAGACTATAAGGGCTATGTGGCATTATGTCAAGGTTTGTAGAATGTATAGACATTGAGAGAAGATTAGTAGGTCACCAGTCTTTATAAAATGTAAAGCATCGTGCTTTAAGAGATTTAATTATTCATTTGTTGATTGTAACACGCACAGCTGCATAACCTACAAGATCCAGAAGACAAGCGATATTTTAATTGTAATCCACCATTGCGCGAGGTAATTTTTATGAAATAATTCAAGCCTTTTTCTTTCTCTCTTTTCTTCTTGTTCACAATTGGAAAACGAGGTATTTATCGCACATACTAAAGCCATTTCGGTATAATCATTTGTTGATTTAAGCTGTTTGGATTTCAAAGACTGCAATTTCCCCAAATGGCCGATCTAATCATGAGGCAGCTTCAACCACTTGATCCCATTATAATAGAATACACAGTTCGGTGAGTTTCCGCTCCTTAAAAAGTTTTCTTCTCACTTTTAATTCCAATAGTGTCTTATATGTGCTGTTTTCACTGTGGCATTATATCATCCTCTATACATTTCAGTGTTGGCAAAGAATACTACCAGTCCAAATATGCTTACGATATAGAAATAGTAACAGACGATACGCTTCAAGCAAAAATGTCGTCCATTCTTGCAAATTCTCTCTCCCAAAAAGAAGTCTCGATGTGTGATGATAAAATTGTCCAATGCGTACAGAGTATCAATAATTCAAAGATCAAGAGAGACTTTTTGTTACGATTTGCTGAGTCGCCTGTTGAATTCATTGACGAATGGATCAAGAGCCAGAGTTCGGATTTAGAGGTGAGCTTCAGTAAGAATAATCTAGAGGGGGTGAAGATATAGTTACGTTGTCAGTGGACGTTTGCCTATCCTGGATTTCATGTATGCCATGTTAATTTATTCATTCGTTTTATAGTTGATCTTGGGTGAAAGTAATGCAAGCATCGAAGAACAGCGTCGAAGTGATTTTTATAAGAGTGATTGGGTTCACGAGGCTATCTTCCATTACTTATCTGCAAAAGTATTATAATAGTACTTGCTTGTTATTGCAGCTTTGACATGGTTGTCACCGCCTTTTTAAACATTGCATAGGACTCCAGGTGACCCAGATCGTGAGATTTTGATTTGCGTTATTCGATGAAAAGGAGTAGCTCTTAGGATCTGTAGAGAGTTCTATCAAGTAAATAATAACGTAGCGTGTACTAAAGTTGGACAATAAACAAAAAGTGACTAAGACACTTGTTTATGGATATTCACCGGTTGTTGCATTTTGTTCTTAATCTCTAATAAGTCTTGTTGAATGAGAGAATTCGTTCTTTTCGGGCTAAATGCTAGACAGTGAACATTAATTGTACGGAGGTCTTACACTAATACATTGAGCTTGAATTTTTTGTTTGTCTGGAGATTCTACCAAGACAATGTCCTTTTTCAAAGAAATGACTTTATTCTTCGCGTAATATATTGCATTTATGCCAAAAATTCTCAAGAGTGCATATCCCATTTCAATTGAGCGAGGGATATTCGGCATTCAGCTGGAGGAGTGGATAGAAGTGAACTACAGCTTTTGCGTAATTTCTTTTCCCAGAAATTGGCAAACGCAGTCAAATAAATGCATTGTAATTTGTCCAAAAGTTCCTGGAATTAGAATGTGATCAACTTTTGCATAATCCTTTATCTCAGCATTGAAAACAGGACGGCAAATGCAGTCAGATATACTGTATATCCCATCTAACATGCGTGCGTGTATGGTTGACTATAAGGGGCAAGGTTGTGTGATGTAAATGATGAAGATCAAACCATATTAATCGAAATGCAAAACATACCGTACGACCATAAACTGTCGGAAAAAGTCTCACACTATAATCTTCATAATACACAATCGTCATGCCAAAGATAGTGTCCAGCTCGACTGTATCTTCGTCCGAGCAAATCAATGTCCGTCCTGAGCAACACTTACATGTCTATTACTGCCTTTGTAGTGAGTTTATTCTAGTTATAGGTAAGACCCTTTTATGCACCTGGACGTTGTGTAAACGAATGCAATCTGATTATTCAATTCAAATAAAGACGCTCGGTTAGAAAAACTACCCCGTCGAACAAAAGACAAGGCGTATATAATAGCTAATAGTAAGAGAGTATATAAATTGAATGCTGTTGAGGATGAATTTCCTGTTATTGTGACTAGGCAAGTTTACAGTATTATATTTCCTTTTCTTTTTCGCAATTGATTCAAGTCCTTCCAACTGATCCTGAAATCAAATTAGGTCTGAAGGATTCGAGAAGCAATATCGCCTATACTGTCCACGTTGTAAACTATTCATTGCTTATGAAACCAGCGAAAGGCGCAAGTCAGGACCATATACTTACATCGTCAAGGGAGGTTTGACTGAATCTCAAGGAATCGTCCCACAAGATGCTCTATCCATATGAGTACGGGAATATGAGACGCCCCAAATCATCAGTGTAATCCGATATTGTTGATAATTCTAGTAAAATAAACCTGCATTATCGTTGATAAGTATATCAAATTCCCTTTCCTCATCCTTGCACTAAACATCAGTCCTCCTCAAGAGTATCTGTACGTCACAGCTGGCGGTTCCAGGAATTCTCTTTGTAATCGGCTAGTATATCGTACTTTCCGGTTCTCTCTGGCTTGCCCACGCCGCACACCGTAAGGAATGTTTCATAACTTAAATAGTTGTCAATAACATTCACTTTCAAGAATAAATAGAAACACTACTAGCATAGATGATCGAAAAATAAAATATAATGATCATTCTTACTCTTTATTTATTCAAAGATGGTATATTGTTCACAGTATTTCCGACAATATAATAAAATAACGGCATGAGGGCCAGTTGGCAAGTGGTCTTCTTGTCAGGATGGGAAATTCCGTGATCTGCATTGTCAAGACAAAGAAATATGATTTTGAACAAGGGCGCGCTCAGAATTATATTGAGTGTGAAGAGCTTATGAGTGTGCTGTGATGTTGGCATGTTTCAATATTTCTGTGTCACTGACATTGTTCTAGATGATAGATGAATGGTGGTAAGCCCACTATATGAATATCATTTTAAATTTTATAGGCTATATTTGACAGATGACAAGGAAGACTCCTGACTGTATGGACATGGAGAAAATTTGTAGCATCATGAGAAAAAATTTTTTGAAATGAAGGAGCTACAAGTAGTTCCCAATAAGACTCTTGTCATAATAATAATGATAAATGAAGGAAAGAGTGCATGTTTTGCTTGACGAACACTCACTTGAACGAAGATGGCCAATAACGGATAAACAAAGACTTGCAGCCATCACCGCATCCTCAACTGTCTGGATACACCTCAGTGATGAAGACTTAAACTATTTGATTAAGCACCAAAAAACCGGCCGACGCCATGTTGACCGTAATATTTCTGGGTGAGTTTGTTAGGGTTGCAATAGAAGGTCAACGTTATGATATTGTCGACCAGATGAAGTAGATGGCTTCAAGCTCTGATTTATGATTATTATGATATTAATATGATATGTATAATACATCCATGGATCATTGCAATCATTGCACGTTCTAATGCCATATCATAATCAGCCTCTCATTTATAAAATGTTCACTTTGCCTGGTTTTGTTGAGATTACTTAATATTAATTTACTTGCTGCTCATTTACTAATTTCCCTGTTGTTTCTGCTACATCATCATGATTTCACTTCTGATTTGTTTATTAGGGGACTGAATAAGCTGGACAGGTGAGCATATAGAAGTTGGATTAATATCTAACTGCAATTTTTTTAATACTATTCAATAAATCCATAGTAATAGATGCCGAATAAAGACCTCGGAAATCCAATAAATTTACCTGTGATTACACGTCATGTAATGATAATGGAGGGCAAGACGTTTTTGATGTATTATTATGTGATAGTTCTATTTAAGAGCTTTTTTCTTGATTAACACGTTATTAGCTCCTGCTTACTTCACTTCGGACCATGAATGAGTTTTTGTTGTATAATACTCAACTGCGAGGACTTGCAAAACCTTCTCTAGTAGTGGACAAGTCCAAGAATATTTTTTGGATGGGTATTGCGGTCGGTGATTCTACGCACACAAAAAAAAAGCTTTATCAGAAGCACCAACCATCACTCCTGACCGCTGGTTCCGGTGGTTTGATCTGGCTATTTTATATTTACCGAGTTGAATATGTTTCTCTTAGGAAGCAGCCAATGGCCAAGTTTTTTAGGAGTATATCGCGTCTGTAGAAGATCAGAGGGGAGGCGTTCATTTCCCCGACAATTATTTCCGACAATTCCTGCTGAAATTATCTTAGTGCCAAAATATTATTGTCGGGGAAATGAACTGTCGGGGAAATGATTGTCGGGGAAGTGAAATGATGGTCGACCAGATCCGATCAGAGGATGGCGGCTAGTGGCCAGACGTTCTAATACGATTAAGCTTAACAGCGTCGAGTATTTGGAAGGTCATATTTTGCCAAGTAGGATAAAATTTCCTTAGCAGATAGAACGCATAATAGATATAAAAGTAGCAGCCTGAAACCTTCAGATATACTAATACTGTACCTGAAACATACAATCTTATTTAGGTAGTCGTAATACCGGGCAGATGTCTTTATTATTATATTGATTACTTAAAACAATGAAACAATGGTACTTTTCGGTTTTCCTGGTTTATGTTTCAAATAAATAATAAGAAATAAAATGTAAACTTTCTAAATTGACAAAGTAATGTAAGAATGATAACACTATAACTGCAGTTTTTTGAGTTTAGGAGACTGGCGAGAAATCAGCGCATTAATATGTGTTGTATGAAGTTGTGAATGGGAGAATATGAATCTTGATTAACTATCTGCAAAGATCGTAATGTTAAGAGACTCACTACAAGTGTTACAATAAAAACGATTGATATTTAAATATTTTACGCACGATCCTAGAGGCAACGATCATGTCTGCAGTTTCATCACAAGAAGAAATTTCAGTTGCATACTTAGGACCGGCTGGGTCTTATTCGCAACAGGTTCGTTCGTTATATGATTTCTACTTGTTGTAAGTCGAGATACTGATGACGTTACGCATCATCTTGTAGGCTGCTCAAGAGATATTTGTGGGCGACAATTTAGCTTATAAACCATGTGCATCTATAAATGGTGAGCGGGAGCTTCTGTTCTAAAATCTATTGGATTATGTTTATTGTTAACACTTAAGTCCGTATAATAGACGTTTTTGCTGCAGTGAAAAGTAGACACACCACCTGTGGCATTGTACCATTTGAAAATTCAACTTTTGGATCTGTGGTTACTACCTTGGATTGTTTCATAGACAGCAAACTAAGAATAAGTGCCGAAATATATCTACCGGTAGATAGGACTGATATTCAGGCTAATAGTTTGCAAGTTAAATCTTACATCTATAACTTATCGCTCACTACTACTTTGAAGGTACATCACAGTTTACTGTCCAAATCTAAACTTTCCGAGCTGAAAAAAGTATATAGTCATCGGCAGGTATGTTCAAAAACGAATATTTTCAACGCCGGCACATCATAATATCTGACATACGCGACATCAAGGCACTCGGACAATGCGAAAAGTGGTTAGCAACGCACCTTCCTGGTATAGCTTTAGTTGAGGTCGCATCAACAAGCCATGCTGCAGAATTAGCAAAGGAAGATTCTGATGCAGCTGCTATAGCGAGTTTAATATGTGCGGAATTGTATTCACTGAACGTAATTGAGCATAACATCGAAGATGGAATGAGTAGGTTTTTAGGCAATTACAACTTTTATTTGAATCAAATCATCTGTGTCATAATTTAAATTTTAAATTTACATTTAGACAACACAACACGGTTCTTCATCCTGGGAGGACCAACTAGTGCTCGCACTGGCGACGATAAAACCTATTTTCTCTTTACAGTAGATCATCGCAAACCTGGAGCTCTTTGTGATGCTCTAAAGGTTTTTAAAGATTATGAAATTAACTTGACTAAGATTGATTCTCGCCCATCTCACAAAAGACCATGGCACTATGTGTTTTTTGTTGAGTTTCAAGGACATTTGGAGGACGAGAACGTACGAGGAGCTTTGGAAAAACTAAAAGAGATATGTCTAGATACCAAAGACTTGGGAAGTTATCCCAATAAGAGACCTAAAGAAGACATGTAGCAGTAGAAAGTATCAGTTCCCGAGTGACGGATATACAAACAACTTGTCAACGGTCTTACATACTGATCAATCACTGGCAATTATAATTCGGTTATAAAATTTTCGGTTGCAGGAGTTGATCTTCGCTTTAAGAGTTCATCAGCTTGTTGCTGTTGCATCTCGTGATCCTTCAATTGTTGTTCAAAGTTTGACTTTTCTGATTTTATTAGAGTCTTCAACATGTCGAACGCTTTCGCCCCGTCCTTTTCCTTCAGCGATTGCACATAAGCAAAATAGAAATAGACCTTTTTATCGGTTAAGAACGCTTTCCGCGAATGTGGTATTACAGGTGGTTTGGACTCTTGTGTCTGTCGAGCTGTGCTTAAAGTATGGAATATACTATATATTTCTGATAACGCCGCAAGCACATTGTCAACATCGGCCAATAATGTATTGATATCATTGAGTAAGATTAAAGTGAATTCGTGTGATTCCATATATTTCTGAATACCAGTAAAGACAGAGTCAGTTCGAATGAGACGCAGCATAAATAGTCTGATATCGCGAAACGATGCCGAACCTGTCGAGAAAGTTGTATGCCTGCAGCCAAAGCCTCAGAAACATTTTCGTAGACAATAGCTTCATTCAATGCGAGCACAGGTGACAGGCTCCATATGAGATTGCATGTTTCATGCACGTTTTCACTTAATTCGCCGTTCAAATACCGACAACCATAAACATAGGCATATCTGTGATATATGTTAAAGACATTATATAAACGACTTTGTGATATGGATTGCGAGAATGGAAGCGTAAAGGATACAATATGTTCAAAAGATTGAAAATAATCATTGGATTGGGTAGCTTGTTAGTCAATTCTTCAAGTTTCTTAGTGATTTTCATAATTTTTGGTGACGATATGTCCTTGTCGGGAAAGCTCTCATCCAACTCTACGATTAATGGATTTTGAATTGTCTTATCATTCAGACCAGATAGTTCCCACCATGGTTTCCATAAATGTATTTCCTGGAAAAGTGCACTCGATTTGTCTAATACAAGTTTTTCGAATTCGGCGCGCTCTTGAGCTGTCAATGTATTCCAAATTGTTTCATATGATGCTGATTCTAATAGTAATCCATAGCAAAATAGTCTTTTCATTAGTCAACGATCTTTTTTGTGTCTGTAAATTATTTAACATGAAAGAAGAGTTTTCACCTATGTCCATAGATCGAAATCTTTCAACAAAATCATTAGCATTAGTTTCTAATGTCACGAGCAGGTAAGCCATCAAGATATGTTGAAGAATTGTCAATCCGTTTTTCAAACAAAACTTACCCACTTCTTCATCGTCTGAGTCAGCACCAATATCTTCTCCCCCGACTCTTTTTAAAAGCTCTAAAATCTTCTTCTTCTCTTCGTTGCTGACTCTCTGAGTACTAATTTCTTGTAAGATGTTGTCCTTGTAAAAAGACTCTGTGCATTGTAAATGACTCTGGGAATACAGAACGGCAAACGGAAAATATTGAGAATGTTACTCCTAGAAACCGAGCAAACGTTGCCTTCGTTACCAACCTCATTCTTGTAACATTCTAATGAACAATATCGCAAATGACATTTTGGGCAAGTGTACTTTGCGGTCTGCTTTCTGCAGCTGCGTTTATACCAGTCTTTCAATTAGTAAATCAATCGATTGCGACAATAAATGGAAGACAAATCGTCGTGCGATTGATTAATTACATGCCACAAAACTGTGCATCTTGTTCGATAAAGTTCCCCTCAGAATCGCGGGTTACAATTTGCGTAGTCATGAAAAAACAGATCATAAAATTCCGTGATGATCATCGGTAGAACATCTTTAATAATATTAATACATTTGTCGAATGGCCACGAACAGGCTAGACTTTGATGATAATAACAGAGGCAGTCTTCATTCACTGCTCACGCTAAATTCCATTCAAGAGTCTCAAGCTGCTAATGAGAAGGCTCTTGAAGAATTATTTGCTGAAAATGATAGAGACATAGCGGCTCTAGCACAGCAAACTCGGCAGGCATTGACAGAGGAATTATCTGGTTACCAATATGTAGAAATTCAACCGAAACCAGGATTTGTAATAAAGACGCATACTGTAGCAAAAACCGAGAAATATCCTGCGAGCATGAAAGTGTTTATAAACGTTTGCTATTCGGAAAAGATTACCGCTCCGATGCAAGTTCCTGAAGATGAGATTCAAAAAGCAATCAAAGGAGACGAATCTACTTACACTGTACCCATGGTTGTTAGCGAATTGAGAGAAGATAAAGATAAAGGTAATGTGTACTCTAGTTTCGTAAACAACATTTTTAATTGTTGAAGAATCAGTGAATTAATTTTGTTTAACTCAACACAGCTCAGAGGCCATGTCTCGTGTGTGATGCTGTTATTCACTTAAAGCCAATGAAAAGATCTAGGGAAGACGACAGCTACAAAATATTTTTAACTGAGTTGACGCTTGCAATATTTGAAGAAAAGTTCAAAATAGAGTTAAGTCGAAGTATGTAATAACGAAGCTTGATATTCAGTTCACGTAAAAGAAATACTGACGCCGACTGCATAATCAATCAGGTTTGTCATTTCCTAGATTACATTCTCAAGGACCATTGAATCCAAGAAGAGTGCCTATCCCCAAAACTCCGCTAGTGACAGAGATAGCTTCAAAGAAACTGAACAAGTCGAATGCTACTCAAACACTTCCAAGACCAGACTTTAGGATAACCGAGAGAAAACAAAATAACACTGACATGGTCATTATAGCGATTCAGACACCATTGCAGGTACGCAATTGTTAAGATGTTGGGGAAAGGTATTGGAGGATATTTTCTTATTTGGCAAATTAATCTATTATTACAGGAGTCAATAGGAAATGCAACAGTCGACATTGAATCTTTGCGAATAATTTTCCATTCGCCGGGGAAATATCATCTAGACGAAACACTTCCATTTCCTATCGATATAGAGTCAGCAAATGCTCGATTCATAAAACCCAAAAGAACATTAAAAATTAGAGCTAAAAGGTCAAATTAGAACATAATTCAAAATACTAATATTAATATGGATATTAAATATGAGATGTGTAACATATATAAATATGTGTCACATGTTATAGATTTTTTCTATGACCAAGTTTCTCGAATACATTATTAATATTATTGCCAAGTTGCAAAAAATAAACGCGATGTCTGCTAAGTTACCGCAGGTACACGAGTAATGACCATCGACTTTAGTGTTTTATTAGAAACTAACTCTATTTTGGTTAATTTTAAAGAAACGGTACTATCGTCAACGTGCTCATTCAAATCCTTTTTCAGATCATCAACTTGAATAGTAAAGATACTTATTTAATTTTGGGACTGAAATATTTCATCAACTGTGTATAAATTACTTACTATCGTCTATGTAGTCCATTAAGCCCTTCGCATATGGATTGGTCAAAGCATTACCCAGCATTCTTTCCTGCCGATAACAAGGATAGTACAGAAGCGATGAGCAAAAAGAAGGTTGAATTTGCTGATCTTGGTTGCGGATATGGTGGATTGCTTGTTGCGCTATCACCACTCTATCCGAATACCCTCATGTTAGGTGCCTAAATTATTTTCGGATCGGTCATTATTGGAACGACACTGAGTCATGATATAATAACTATTTTGTATCAGGGATGGAGATTCGTGTAAAAGTAGAAGAATATGTTTATGAGAGAATACAGGCATTGCGAAAACAGTATCCGAAGCAATATGAGAATATATCTATAATCAGAATGAATGCTATGAAATTCCTACCAAATTTCTTTGAAAAAGGACAGGTTGGTACAAAACGTATATATATTATCTAAAAATGCAAAGCCTAAAGTATAATTGAGGTAAAACTATAAAATTTTGTTTCTCAATGCAGCTATCCAAGTTATTTTTCCTATTTCCAGACCCCCATTTCAAAAAGAAAAAACATAAAGCAAGGATCATATCGTAAGCGAAACAGATCTTATTTTCCAAATTGAAGTATACGAGCTAATTTTTACGATGCTTAGCAATAATTTCAAATAAAATTTTTTTATAAAGACATGGGCTTTTGGCAGAATATGCATATATTCTGCAAGAAGGAGGGATAATCTATACTATAACAGATGTCAGAGACCTACACGATTGGATGGTCAAGTGCCTTGATGAGCATCCTTTGTTTGAAAGAATTTCTGAGGAAGAAGTAGTAAGTAAATATATTGTGTAAAAAGAATAATACTAGGTAGATAATTTATTAATCTTATGATGTATTACAAAAGGAGAAGGATCCCGTCGTACCATATGTAAGAACTGCAACAGAAGAAGGAAGAAAAGTGGAAAGAAATAAAGGAGATAAGTTCTTGGCATGCTATAGGAGGATCAAAGATGAAGAAGAAGAATAATAATTAGTATTACTCCTTGTACGAACACACAAAATCATGCATGTACTTAATTTATGGTCTGCACTAGAAGTATGGCATTTCAAAATTATCGTTTACTTAAACATTTTTATTGTAAACTTCTATATTCGAGGAAAAAAAGGTACTTTTTTTTCAACTAGACATAATCACTTAAATAGTGCATTCACTGTTTCATTGTTGGTCTGGAGTGTTCGCCGCCGATTACGTTGTATTTTTACCAGATGTGATTGGTTCAACATCTGCCGTTGGCTTCTCCGTATGATGAACTTCCTTGTGTCTTGCCCGTGATGATTCCTTCTTCCTCTTTTCGGATTTTGCAGTGAAATACTAAAAAAAATTTTACCACCTTTTAGTATATATGGACATGTTTTCTATATATGCACCGGCATCTTCATACCTGCTCGCGAAATAGATAATGGCCAGGTTTTTTGGTGTCATTATCACCAACTGATTTGCCTTTCTTTTGATCATTCATGACAGCAGTTAAATTATCCAAGGATTGAGCATTAACAAAAGCATGCTCCCCCGATATATTATCCTTGAACTTTTCCATAGTTATCAATCTACGACTCCATGATCCAAAGTTTTGCTCACTGTTCGAGATCAGTCTCAGACACGGGTGAGATGGGACGTCCGAGTCTGAATATCTAAAGTAGGTACTGACTTAATACACGTGACTTTACCAGATCAATTTAGACAGGATAACTCACTCGTCTACTATGGTTGGCAGCCAATATACTAGCCGACCACCGATAACTAAGAATTTTGCAGCAAACTCTATGAGATCAGTAAGAACTTGCGACATTTCATATGGTTTCTTTGGTGGGATATAATCGTCGTCTCTTGATTAATAATTGGATAATGTTGTTAAGCCAATATTGACATTAAATCGACATACTACCCGTGCGTTTAACGTTACATACCCCATCGGAGAAACTCCTTCGAGCAGTTTGGTCGGCTTCTTTGTCGGATCCTTCCTACCTAGCGTTTTTGCGCCAGCTCTTACACCATATGGAGCTAAAGATGTAGAATATTAATAAATTATTGATTCGTATCTAACAATTATGTTTACTTACGATCGGTTACGATGGCGTCAAACCACGCTTCCTCTCTGAACGGATGATGACAAATGTCAAACACCAATGTATCAAGGACTCTGCCTCCCACCCGATATTGCTCGATATTAGAGTGAATAGATCTGTTTTCTGTCAAAATATGAATGTGCGCACATTATTATTACATAATCCTGCTAATTTCTTGTGTTCTGTACTGAGTAGAATTCAGAAGATTAAATTTACTTTGACCGCGTATTTGTCGTCCATCAATATCAGATCCGAGAGTCAGTGCACCAAAATGTGCGCACGTGACCAAAAAGCTACCAGTACCCACAAATGGATCATATATGAATTTATTAGGAGCTGCCTATATAGAATGTGTTAGCAAAAATCATAACAAGAAAGCATACATTATCGAGATCCATACCAACGCCTGGTTTGCCATGATCAAAGATAACTCGGCATCCATGGTAGTATTTCCAATATATTTTCTCTTTTTCACGTTGAATTTTTGGATGAGGTCACGGTTTCCTGATCCAATCTAGTCAATGTTGTATTATTACATATGTACCGATAACATCAAGTCCAGTTATGCTTTCCGTTCTTACCAATCTTCCAAAATATATATAACATGGTGTTGAAGGTGGTGAAGCAGCATGAGGATCCAGACCATAGTCTTCTAAAACACCAAATTGGATCTCAGGATTCTTTAGATCTATTGGACCTTTGAATCCTAAATAGGCAAAAGAGTTGATAATATCCAATTGATAGTTGGCCGCACACGTTGATCCAAATGCCGAGACAACAAATTTAAAGGATTTCCATTCGTATGTGGGCTAATGATATCCGACGAAATTCAAATGTGAGGGCAAGCATACATTGTATGCAAGAAAAAGCCAAGTTATTTACCCATTGCTCGGGGTGAGCTTTTACTTGAGAATGAACTTCTTCATAGGTAGAACCGGATCCCCAAAGCTCAAAGATATTTCTATAAAATTTTAATAATATTGGCAGGTTTGACTAAATTTAGAGAAATTGAGAACTTGATGCATAATCTCATCATACTTGGTCAATATAGCTCGTTTGACAAGACGCGCTGCTTGTTCTTCAGTTTCGATTTTGACAATAAGAAAGGGACACTAAAAAGGTTAGATTTATCTGTTCGATGAACTTTGACGTGCGTTCATGTATAACCTACATTCTTTTTATATGTATTCACGTCATATGAAAGTGTGACGTTCTCTACTTTGGCCAAAGACTCGAGTTCCGGGATACGAAATTCGTCATGAGCTAATTTAATTTCAAGTCAACAGTAGTTATAGATAGAACGCTCGAGCTGCGGTTTGGTAACTTACATTGAGCAAATTGAATAAGATAAGTTGGCATCTCAAGTAATAAACTACGCTTGCATTGGATTAAGTCAATTATTTGCTTTGACGCAAATGGTAACACTTGTTCACGTGAACGAATGATCCAATCATATCAATCATAAAATACTACAGAATTTATTAATATTAAATTACATAACTTCATCTAAATCTTTTTTCGTTTACTTTTGTGTGAAAGAAAAGGCTGATTAAAGACTTCTGTCAATCTTTTCACCTGAAATAAACGCACAAAACCCGTTAGAATATGCCAAATGCGATCTTCAATAATAAGCAAATGTTTCGTACCTTGAACTCGCCAAATCCAGGGCACTGTGCAATTTCCTCTTCAGATGCAGCCATAATTCGCTTCAACGAACCGAACGTAGATGCCAAAGTAACAACGTCAGTCTTGTTCACAGATCTCACCTGAGTCAAGCAATGTGTCAACTTTGCAAAATAATCATTCTCCACTCTCTCCATAATCAGATCTGGCGGTTTATGCTCAAATGCTTTATACGTCTCTAGATATCTTCCAGCTTCTTCTTGACTCCAAGCTAGCATCATAACAAAGTTGTTTGTGATACACGTCTTTGTAAGTTCGCGAACAGCTTCTTGATGGTTATCGATATCGACAAGAATAAGTAATATGCGAAGTTGAAACTGATGGGCGAGCTTTTGGATGCGAGTATAAACGTATTCAGGATGGAGGCGATGATAGCGAAGACTGAGAAAAAGAGCGCATGTCGTTGCACCAAGAACGTAGTCAGGGACTATCTCGCCGTATTCCCATGGTACGTTACGGATGTATTGAAGCAAAGGGTTACCTCTCTGTTAACGAACATGTCACATAGAAAAGATAAGAATGTCTTTTAATAAACGATTCAAAAACATGTATGATTTGTCTGTTCGTATAGCGAATTCTTTATTGCAAATCGTACCTGACATCCATTAACAACAATTGCATTCGAACTAGCCACTTTCTTTCCCAATTCTCTTCCATTTCCTGCGATGTTTCTATCATCAATCAAACGACCCTTCTCTAACGCATTCCTGGCAGATATGGTAATATGGTCAAACCGTACAGGACCTAATAGTATTCCGCCAAACCACCTCGATACCACAACTGCTGCATTTTTCACGTCTAGGTTTCTTATAAAAGTTAACAGTTTGTTCCCAGCGAATTGCTCCCCGTCATCGTCACAATCTTCCAAAACAGCTCCATCTGCGTTGACAATTCGGTATGCGAGTATGTTGTGCGTAGCACCCTTATCGGATGATTTTATTTTCTCATGAAAAGAGAGAGCTTCTTGTTTCGAAATTACACGTGTCGCGTGACCAGTGAAGAGGCTTTTACGGTCCTTTATTATGTCACTGTGGTAAATTGTTGGAGTCGAGGACTGGTTCGTGGACGAGGATGATGGTGTATGCGACATAATCTTGGTTATGCTTGTTGCTGATCAAGCGATACATATATACGATATGCAATATTTGTATACTGCGGATACACTATATTATTATTATCGTATTGACAAAATAGGGGTTTCCGTACATTTGGTAAAAACAAATATGCTGCTTGAAAGTTGGACGTTACAAGCAGACCCACCAGGTTCAAGTAACACACAAACAGCCACGGGGCATAGAGCATAGGTACACATGGCGATAAAACATATTTCACGTTATTTATTTTAATACCCAAATAAAGTGTTCACCGTACTTACTAATGGCATAAAAGCCCAGATTCAAAATAATCTGAGCATTTTGCATACAAACAATGCAGAAACAATTGCTAGATAGCCAATTAAAACTTTCCATATCACTTCACCTATTTGATCTGCTAACTCTCTGTGTATTAGGACCGCCTTTTTTCTTATACTACTCGAGGAATCGACAGTTCTTATTCTACGTTCTTCCTTCACCCGCATCCCACTTATATTTCTATTTAATCTCCTCACAGTCACCAAGTTTTCTTCAGGTTCACTCTCGAATATTGCCATCCGATCCGCGGCCGTCTTGTCCCCAAGTATTGCCTGAAAATATACTAGATCCACGAGCACCACCACGATCCCCAAGAAATGACATTGTTTTGTGGTAGATAAAGCGGAACGCCGAATAGCCCAGACGTGCAACAGTAACCCAGAACGTGATAAAGAGTGAAGCGAAGAAGGCAAACGCCGCAAATGGCCCCAGAAGAAGGAATGCGGCACCAACAAGGAAGCAGTTGGCTATCGCCCAAAGAATAATACCTATTTTAGGGGAATGTTCGTGTAACCATCAATCCTGTTGTTACGTGCATAGACCAAAGACCCAATTTCAACTTACCAGTAACACTAGTGACAATCAAACTACCAGCACTCCATGAAAGCCAAACCAATACGGGCACGACAAACAATAAAGAAAAGGCGGTGGTAAAATCGGACAACAACTGGTATCTTCTCGCTACCTCGTATGTTTTCTTGCTAAATTGTTGAAACCATGAAGGAGTCTTCTCAAATGCCGACTCGGCATGTTTCCTCGTGCTTTCAACAAAAGGGCTAATTGTTTGCTTTGTTTTCTTGGTCTTTTCCGACACAGTATCTGAAAGTTGAGGAATTGAGTCCATGTTTGCTTCAAGTAGGCTTGTGTGATTGATTTAAAATGACTGAAAAGAGGATTGGCCGGTTGGGTGTTATATAGCAGTTGTCGCGGAGAAATTCTGCTGAATGATGATGATATCTTGCAGTGTTCGTGATTCTCTCTTTCGTAGTGATGTGAATTTATCATTCGATATGACGTAAATATGAGGAAACGACAAGCTGATGATAACCATGAGCCAATTTGTGTGTAATGGGCAAACGTTAATCCCATCCAAATATAGCTAAGGTTTGGTATGACTTTATTCACCTGTGTGATATCACTTCCAATACAAGTCATCAACAATACAAAAACAAAAACGTAATTTCCATATGTCACATTCAAACATACCACCGTGTCGGATGCAAATAATTTGACAGCTCACCAGAGACGGACGGGCACAGGTAACAGTTTCGATTATTGGACGATATTTTATTCAAATGAAGCCCTCACAATAATGGTAAATTGGTTTGTCGCATGAAAAGATTGGTATGTAATGTGATGATGTGTTCGTTGAATGTCTTGTTTGTTTGTGTGGGTTCAGCAGTAAGACAATGTCAGTAAAGAAGGACGCCACGATTTCTTACGCATGTATTTAAATATGAGGCTTTTATGTAATATGACCAATCCCGCCTGCTTTTAAACTTTTCGTGGCACTGAGAATTATTTAAATATTCACATTCTTTTGATACGGTTTTACTGCTATTGGAAAGGCCGATATGTTTGAGCCTTACGGTCATTTAACAATCATTTTTAACTCATTCGTTAGAATTTGCATCATTTAATAAGTTGAACAAGGCTTGGTGTTTACTTTACATTGGCACCGTACGCTGTAAATTTGATGCCCGCCCTCAAAAAATTAAACATCGAGATCAAGTTTTGGTTAACATCACATTTGATGATATAGAGGTTTCTTACTTACTTTCAAGTCATGAGGAAGAAATACTAATCAAATAAGGCTAACACTTGATGTTCAAAGTTTGTTTGTGGACACCAAAGCGCCCATAGTTACATGCGATCAATATGATTAGTGCGTGTAAAAAATTTTAAGAATAGAAGAACCCGCGCCGCAAATACGTAGTAGAATAGGTTCCGCACACAAACAGCGTTTTTTAAGATATAATGAAATGAAAGGCAGGTGATACCACTATTATTATATTGCTTACTCGTAAGCGCAGCGTTTTCTCGTGCAACAATTGAATTGTTCAAAGTGTCCGAGGCCCGCTTGTCAGCTCAATTATTGTATGAATTGGAAAAGCAAAATGCTCTTCTGCGTTACCAAAGAAAGTATCAATATCCTAGCTTCTAATATTAATATCTTATCGAGCTATAAATACAATGTCAACGTCACTGATACTGATAACTTTAATGAAGATTTATGACGAGCCCAAATAAATTGGTAATATAGTTTTATGTGGTATAGATTATATTATATTTATTGAAAAGGATAAATATTAGGCACTCAACCAAGGCGTGCTATATTTGCCTTTCTATTTTTCGCGTCATCATAAATTTTCGCTCATCCCGGAGATTAGCATATTAATATTGACATGAAAAAGCTCCTCATATTTATCGAGTAACCCTATTCAAGATCATTAGATTACAGAATAACATCTTTTATTATGAATTTCGTGCCATTTAAAATGTTAATGATGTTTCTGTTCGAATCGTATTCCACCTAAAATTTAATTCATCAATTAATGCAATAGCTGACTGAACGCAAAAGCAACAAAAAGCCACCAAATCAAGCGCTTACAGTATCCGCATGCGTGTGCTCCAGGTTTATCCTGCAAAGCATTAGATAAATATCAAACCATTAACACAAACAAACAACTAACTACATACCAAATTTATATAAACCCTCGGGTGGCCTAAACTTCCGCCGTCTACGATTGAATCAAGATTAGACATTAAGGCGTAAAAATTTGCGGTTTCTCTCATATATCGATTACCTCCATCACAAACAGCGGATCGTCCCTCAACATAACGAATTGGCTCCTCCGCGATCAACTCGATTGCGGCCAACGGACGAGGCTTATGTTTGATTAAGTAACTGAAAATTAAAAATAGATTGCTCAGCATCCGAACATGAAAAGAAAGCACCAACCTGGACTTCGAGATCAGTTTGCTCAAATCGAGGCCCAACCATAGCGTCTGTTCGTTCTCTTTGGCTACGAGACCATGGCTCAGCCCGATTCGGTGCTTGTTTGAATACTTCGGTGTCTGTGGAGACAGGCGGAGGCGACTTTATCGGCACATCGCTTCCTGAGGAAGACGAATATTTCCGAAAGGAAGAAACAAGAGGAAGTGGTCTCTGGGCAAAAACACTCCTCTGTCCTGAGAGCGACAGGGATCTTGCCAGAAAGGAACGAGCGTTCATTGCGATTTCAAAGAATGCAGTGAGGATATTCGAAAATTTGTACAAGTCATTGTTACACTATTTACCAAGTTTGGTTGATTTAAAAAAACTGATAATTTAACCGAGACCACGAGTCCTCCTGGAACAGTGTAATCTCAGGAGTGAAGATATTACTTCTACAAAAACTATGGTTTATTGCGTCCCGAAAAAGTCAACGTGGGATAATTTGCGTAATAAATCTTATCGTTATGGCCTGTTAATACTGTAATAGTTCAATCACGTGCAGTCGTCCTTTCGCTATCATTGCAATGTAGGCGTAGCAGCACGCCGTGATGTTACACAATTAATTTAAAAAAATACTTAATTATCATATCAAAATGTGTTGTCATAGTTCAAAAATCTACTTCACAATGTCACTAAGCAATGATTATGACTTCTCTCTTACCGGAGAATGTCTGATCAAAATGTGCGAAGATGCCTACCTTGCAGGATATCATTCGATAACATTGGTTCTGCATCCTCCGACCAAGATTACAGTAAATTCTAGCGATGAAGATGGCATGGAATATGTCCATATAATACATAATTCAAACCCACTGACAACAACAAGTAACGATAGACTTTCAGATGAGGCTGAATCCGACGATTCGAACGGATCTGATATTACTCAAGAAAGAGCATCGCTGCAAGATGAAAAAACTTTCCCAGAGAAAAAATCAGGTACAAATCTTTTGTTTTCCAAGGTGCCAGTTGTCGATACATTCGAGGAGTACCATACTAATCCTATGTAACTATCGGTGATAGAAACATCCGAGTCTGATTCCTTAAAAATTACCGATATCCACTTTCTACAACGAAAGGAACGAAACGAAATTGCAGAACTTTTAGCGGATATTCATTCACCTACTAATCAAGCCCCCAGATACAAAGTATCGGAAAAGATTCCAGTCGAACTTCTCAAGGATAAACTGAAAAGAGAATACGCATTGACCATGATGCAAACGAGACATTTTGCACTGAGTGGTCGGAAACCAAAATTAGCAACTGACAAAGATACAAAATTATATACGAAAGGATTGAAAGCCGCTTATAGGTTAGGGGCGGTTTTTGCATTTGCTCTAAGTCACCCAAAACTCATTACTTGGGACGAAATAGTTGAGGCTACGTCTGCATCACCTGATGACTTGCGAAAAGCGATCAAATTCGCAATAAGGATTTATGAATTGTTCAAGATTCTAGGCAACGAGGCATTTAACAAGGCTCAGAATATGCAACTCAACTTTATGAACAGGCTAGACGATGAACAATACAGTGTTTTAATCGAGTGTTTAAAAAGTATCAAGAAAACCAAATAATATACACCCAATTATGGTAAAAGAAGGCAAGAATGACAAACAGACAGTGTTGGGAGGTGAAACAGGTTGGTGGTTTCTTGATTGAACGAGAACGTTTAGAAATTACAGTCTTACAATGTTTCCTTTTATATTCACTCCTATGATAATGAACGCTCCATAATTTATCAATAATAAACGTTTCTTCAGTAATAAATAGAATTATCTTACTCTCCTTCACAGCATACCCCCTTTTCTTTATGCTGCGGCATGAAACGCTGGTTTCAAAGTAGGGAACTCGGCGATAACACACACACGGAGACTGCATAAGTTAGTAGGATTATAGGTGATGGATGTGAGAGTGTAATTTTTTGTACACCAATGCATATAAATAAGACGCGCCTCAGCAGCTCTTGAAAGTTCACCGGTAAAGTCTCCTCTTTGATCAATGATTATACCAAGCATATTTTACTCTTTCGACCCTCGCGTTCATGTAATGGCTTTCGTATCGGCTTACATTGTTTATTTGTTCAGACTTCTCCCCTTATTCGAGTGCAATTGCTTGTCCATAGACAGCATTGTCCGCAGTAGGTGCTTTCGAACCAATTGGTCATAGTATGGATTATATTATTGTTCGACACGAACTGTGTTCCCAAATTCTACAGGAACGCCTTCATAGGAAACGTTCGTTTGACGCGGCCGTAAGTAACTTTACTCACATCCGGTGCTTTCTCCTCAAATTGGTAGATATACTCCTGTGATGTTGATATTCTTGGCACACGCAACAATAGTTGTGATATACGGTCGTAGGGCACCATGACAGTGAGGGGAAAGCACTTTGTTAAGTTGATTGGTTCATCCATAAAATAGAAAAGACGATTATCCTTCTACCAAAAGAATATTTGTCTGTCGTTGATGCTAAGCATTGTGGGAAATACGCTCTTCATCGGAAGAAAGCTGTGGCTTTGTGTAATTTGGAACCATTACAAGAAAAATTGAATTTAAATAAGAGGGCCTGTTTAAAATTTCTTTACATGTTTTTCTTTCCAAGTTCAGAAAAGTACGGTATTCATTAGAAATGAAATTTTAATTAATGTTACCAAATTTTTAAAATCTTGCTTGGAAATTTGATCTTCAGTCCTGTCATTACGGCCTCAAATTAATATTAAGAATCTGTCGCTAGCCATTTAAAGGAAAAATCTGCCTCACAGAAATAGCTATCGTTCGAGTGTCCACATACTGGAACATACCAATGTGGTAGCTTCAAGTCTCGTCCATATGAATAAGACTGTTTTTTGGTAGGAAGACGCATACTACATACACTAAATAGAACTATTTACGGCGGAACTGGAATCTTTTTCGCTATTACTTGGAATACCTCGTAATCGTCAATAGCGAACGCTTCCTGTTTCTTTCGAATTGGCCTTTCATACGACATCTTCTTGGCCGTACAAATAAAATTGTCCTTTACACTCTCTTTCATCTGCAAATCACTTATCCCAAACGACGGTCCAAACGAAGGCATGCTATGCACAGCCCTTGTAACTTCTTGTACTCGACTAACTAGTGCATTCTGCAAGGTCTCGTCAGAAAACGAAAATAGAAAACTGTCAGGTGTTTCCTGCCACTCATCAAAACCTTGTTTTTTCCACGGAATAGGATTATAGCCACCAAGTATTTCGGAGGAATCGCGGACCTTTATTACGGTAACGGTATGTGACTGGGAATCACATCTGTCATGAAAAGTGGTGGTAGAAAATCCATCACGACTGCCTCTGAGAAATAACCGAAATTCGTAAGGAATCCCAGCGGAGGTATACGGAATAAAACCATTGGCTGAAATGTTCTCATCTTTACGATCGATCCATGAAGAAATGAGTGCTGCATGTCGCCAATCGATGATGGTTGATTTCATCCTCGCGGGAGCAAGCCGAGCTGATGTTAATTGGTTACCGGGAACAAGATAGTAGTGAAGTAAATCCTCGTATAGATCCGTTGGGAGTACCCGGCGAAATGGCTTAACCTTGTTATAGAAATCTACGGAATGCATCTGGGAGAAATTAATCAGAGGAGTAATTCTGCAGAGAGCCGTTCGAAGAACGGTAAAGTCCGAATATGTCCATTTACTTATATCTCTTTCCAAATTACGCGTTTGTGAAACCCCCCATCGTAGCGTGTGGTCCCAGATATCTACTTCATCCATTCTAATATCGCTGCGTTTCAGTAACAATAAAAGAACTCTTTCGTCGATATCGAGAAAGTCGTTGGCTTTAAAAACGAGTTCGGGAAAGTCTTGCACTATTTGATCACAGTAAGTTTGAAGTTTTTTGAAATTGTCATTGAACGCGGCTGTACGATAAACAAGGGCGAAATTTTTTTTGAGCCATTCATCATTGTTGTTTCGAAGATGGTCCTGAATGCAATCGCACAGTTCAGGGAGACATAATTCTTCGGCTGCTATTAGAATATCAAGGATTGTCGCGTTATCCTTGACCATATCAAATGACATTCTTCCATTGTAAATGTATCTGGTATGCGAATGATAGAGTTAGTAGTAACGATCGATCAAAAAAATTATATATATATTTTTTTCGGCATTCTCGCCTTGAACAGACCTTAGAATAATTTTAAAAATGTCGGGTGATATACTGGGCTTTTTCAATACTATAAGGTTATCTTTTTTCGTGGCCCACCCGCTTGACAATGCTTGACGAAAAAATGATGATCGCGCCCTTAATATGACTGAATGCGCTCCCAAGACTTTTGTCTCTGGTTCTTTTCCAGCATATATCGCAACGTTATAATCATCTGCATCGTCAAGAAGGATATCAAAGTCCCGAGATAAGATTTCGATAAGTTCAATGTCTGACATTTGCTTGGTGATAAGCGGAGGAGCGAAGGATGATTGCTGGCTGGTTTGTGCATCATGCATAGGCGTAAAACTTGCCATTTTCAGGTCTCAGGGGTTAACTCGTTAAGCCGCATATAAACGCTTATTATCAACCATTGGCGAATATTTCTCCATATTATACACCATACTATGTTTGGCTGGAAGGCAAAGAGACTTGAGACAAAAGTTTGGCCAGAAGTCTTGGAGAAAGGCCACTATTACTGCTGGAAGTGAATTACGGTCGTAAACGAGAAAAGGAACTGATATATAGGGCATACTAGCAACAAAACCAGACAAGTGAACGTGTGACGTCACCTTCAGTCATTCAATACAAAAATAAGACAGGTAAGCCAGATAAATAAATAGAGGGCCGTTTATAGCGCAGCATTTTTCGACGCATCTTATTAATAAAATGGGGTAGCTGCAACAAAACAAACATTTGACACGTGAGCTAAAAAATGACTGGCTGATGTTGGCCGAAGATTAACAAGAATACTAATACTAATACATAGTCAGTCTCGATAAGTCGGCCAACAGTAGCCCACCTCAAATGTCCTTTAACAACCCAACGATAACACCTAACACCCGCTTTACTCCCTTTCGGATAGAGTTGACATCCTCTTTCAATGCCGTTTTGGAGAGGTTTATTTGATATTCACTTTTACTGGTGCAATATAGACCATCGGTAGTAAAAACAATGAAATGCCATTCTGTGGCTAAAATAAACAAATTTGTAAATCAGAAGAGGTAAGACAGTAAGAAATTCTGTGTCTGAAGACACTAGCTCCGCTATTATGGGAATGATTGGATAACACTACCTGTAGAGACTAACCCATAGAGATAATCGTAATCATCATCCCGGAAAGCTTCGTCTGCTGTACGCTTCTTCTTATTGATATGGTATGCACTTTCTAGTTGCATGATATTCTGGAGATAACCGATTTCGACGTTACGGGGTTTTCCTTCGGCTATACACATTAGATCTTCGTTTCCTTTGATCGCATAGTCAACACGTCCTGATGCCTCTTTCCCCGAAACATCTTTTTGATATAATATGTAGAGTTCTTCTTCATTGGTAAGTCTCCGAACGATGGCGAGCGACGCATTTAATATCAATGTAATGAATATGCAACGTGTGGC